CAGTAACTGCTCTGCTCCCTTAGTTACCATGAGCCAGTTTCAGCAGAAACCCAGCATCCTGATACCACCTTTGTCGGAAGACCTGATTCCTGATGCACCTGCTCTCTCTCTGCTGACCCTGACCCCATCTTCTGCTCTCCCCACAACCCTTGGAATCCATCACACCCACTTAGCCATCCAAGCCTCCTTCTTGCCCCTCCCCCCAGTTGCACAGCCTTGGCTGGTCACCGGCTCACATGTCTGTCTCTGTCCAAGGTGCCTGGACTTGCCTGGGTAGCATTGTTCCCAGGAGACTGCCTGAAGGACGACATAGCTGGTCCACAAGGCCCCATCACTCACAAGATGAGTGGCTTTGGATAGGTCAGTTCATTTCCCTGTGCCTCACCATCCTCATCTGACATGGGAGCTGTAACCGTCCCTGCCCCATGGGGCTAACGTGTGTTGGCGCAGGGTCACAAAGCAAAAAACTGCACAGCTCTAGAGGGGTGTTAGCGGTGTGGTGCACAGCCTGCCATCAGCACAGGGCGGTCTTGACTTGTATGGAGCAAGCAATCAACACATTTTGGATTATGTATTACTACTGTTGTTGTTATTACTTTTAATTTAATTGACTAAATTCCCTGGGATCTTCCCTGCCATTCACATCCTCCCGGCTGGCCCCCAGACGCTATGTCCCTACAGGAGGGGAGACAGCTGGCGAGAGCCCTCCAGGGCTGTGTTTGGCATGGATCTTAATATAACCCAGGGCATTCAGTTTTGGGGAGCCTTGGTTACAAAAGAGGCACAAAACTGGGGGGCTTCCTAAGGAACCGACAAACCTGGCGTGAGACGTGAGGGAGGACACACCTGCATCTGTAATGTGAATTTCAGTATTTCCCATTTCCCTTACACTTGAACATGGAATCAGATAATAGTAACGAGCCCACATAGTATTGGGAGAGTAAGTTATTAGGTCTCCAAGTTTCACATACAGTCTCATCTGAGCCTTGGGGCCCACGAGAGAAAGTCCAGGCAGATAGATTTTCTATTCTGCCTGTGAGGAATAGAAAGTCTGGAGAGGTGGTGAGCTCTGACACAGATGGTCACTGGCAATCTGACATGAGAGCTGGGGCCCACGCGGACTGAGGCTGAGTGAGAACACTCCAGGGAGGAGAGAGGTCTGGGTGGGAGGTGTCTGCTGCTCAGGCCTCACTCCTTAGTTTTGGTTGCATCAGTAAACTGAGGCTTCCAACTATCCGAGGCCACTTATTAGATGTGCCCTCCCTGAAGACTCTCCAAACTTTACCACCTGCACTTTCAAAGGATGATGCAAAGAGCAACAACCCTGTTTATAATTGAGCCATCTGGTCCACTCAACACTTCCTTGGTAGAATTCATGAAGATTGTTTTCTTTCTTTGTTTGTTTTTTTAAAAGGCCCCGCTTCATTATAAAGAAGCCTCCTTGTTCCCAGAGGACTCACTAATCGGGGAAATCATGGAAACTCTTAGATGGAAATGCCTCTAATAACTCACTTTACTATGACTCCGCCTAGCACTAAGAACTTATTTTCTTGATTTCCTCGAATTGTCTGTAAAGTGAGACAATTTTCCCATCAGCATGCTGACAGCCTACCCTGCATTATTCTATGGCAGGCTTTATTTGCATTCACAGTGAGTTTAAAACTTGGAGTAGTTTGATGAGATTAATATGAGGTGTCTCTTCAAAAGTTGAGTGGTATAACAATTTAGCAATGACTCCACTAACTATGTGAAATGAAATATTAACTTCACAAACGTGGTGACAGATTAGAATATCATTTACCTCCAAGGCAATTGCAGCTTCTGATCACACATCACTACCACCCCTGGGAAATGTACAAGCCCCTCTGTCAATCACTCCCCAACAGGCATTCACTGAACACCTGCTTGGGTACCACACTGCTCTGGGAGACCTGAGACACCATCCCTGGCCTTAGGGAGCTGGCACACCTGCAGAATTAACTGATGATTAAAATGGTATACAATCGAGAGGCAAAATGGGTGACACAGACGCCAGGAGATGTTGAAAAAAGAAGACGGTGTGAGTTGAAGAAGGGGGTTCATGGAAAAGGTGTGAATTGCCAGAGCACAGGTACCATTGAGGAAATACTACTTATGCCAGCACCGTGCCAGGCACTTGAACTATGCCCCTGAATTCAGACTTGATACAACTAATTCTATGAGACAAGTCTGAGGCTCACCCTTGGTTTTCCTCTAGCACTTGTGATTCGGGGTCAGGCATTGGGCCAGATGAGATCCACAAAACAATTGTGCTGCTCTCTAGAAGGGGCTTCTCTCCCTCACACCACTGCTCACCCTGCACTGAGGTCATACGCGAATCTGCCTGTCCCCAGACGTGGTTGTGAAGGCCAAGGCTGGAATTCATTTCTCCCCATACCCCAGGCAGAGCCTGACCCACGGCTGGCACCCAGCAAAGGCCCACTGTATGAGGGAGTGAGTTTACAGACTTACGGCTCCCCCGGAGCTGGGGAGGATGCACGCCGCTCGGCAAGCCCTCCACTGAGCTCCCCTTCTCCTGAGCCCGCCGCCTCAGTGAGACAGAAATCATCTTGGAGGCAGTGACCAGACACTCTCCACTTTCTATACTCCCCACCCTATACCCCGGACCCTGTACCATGCTGAGCCCATAGCACAGGTTCCAGAAACTGATTAGAACAGGTGGGCCAGGACCTTGCTAAAAGACATCAGCTTGGACTTGGGATTTTTGCTCAGACAGCAGTGTTAGCTGGTCCCCTGAAGGCAAATTGCTATGGGGGCCCCCCTCTTCAGGAAACAACAATTCCCCGGAGCCTCCCTTGGACACTTGCAACTTTTAATTGCCCTTTACCAACTGAAAGTGTTTCTCAGCTGAAGGAGCCGAGCAAGGGGACAGTGAAGGGGCTCACATGCAGCACTTGGGGAAGAGGCAAACAGCCACAGGATGAGAGGATAACACCATCCACAGCAACAAATAAACATTTTCATAATTTGCCTACTAATTAAAATAGCAAATACAATCAAATCCAATTAGCATGGATTGGTCTGTGGGGCTTTAAATCAGAGGAGCCTGGTTGATTGCCCTGGAGTCACTAATTAGGCCTGACGTGATTTCTTCCGAGGAAAGCCTCTTGGCATGCACCTTTCCCAGTGACGGGATTCATGATCGGCTGGGAAATCACAGGTGTTGTTCAGGACTGGACTTCTGCAAGGCCCTACTTCGAGGGTTTCCATCATTTTACTTAGTTCAGGGCCAGGGGGCTGACGAAGCTTCCAGACCTGGTTGGTGCGTGTGGGGGTTTCAGGGTCTGAGGCAGGACCCCAGAATGTCAAGGAAGGTGGTCCTCCATGGGCCCTCACCCTCCTCTTGTCAACAGTGTTTTCTTCCTGTCCTGTGCACGCTGCCCTCACCAGGAAGCGCCTACAAGTTTTGGGCCAATCTAATATTTCCTTGGCAAAGGCTGAAAAGCAATCTAACTCTCTCATAGAACTGAGATAAACAGAAACTTAGTTCAATCATGGTTCCATCGAGGGTATTTTTCATTTCTTGCTTTGTGCAAGAAGGTGGCCGTGAGTGAGAGCAGAGACTGTGCTGAGGAGCAAAGGTGTGTTTCCCTTAGGGAGACAGACATCTTCACATTTACTCCAGTGCCCCACGGGCCAGGCCAGACACAAAACCTAGCAGTGGGCCTAGAGCAGGAAAAACAGGGAGGGTTGGGACTATGGTACATGAGAGAAGACAGGCTCCTTCCTGAGGGGGTAGCCACTACTAACTCAAAATGAGGGCTTCCTATCAAGAATATGCACCCTAGTTCCTAGATGCCTGGGTTTACTCAAGGGTTAGGGATCCAGAAACTTCTGCAAAAACTCCTATTTCTGTTATTTGTTTCATTTTTTAAGATTGGTTTATTAAAAAAACAAACGCAAAAACACTGGAACATGGAAACATGGGCCGCTTGGGGTAAATGGAAGTATGGAGAAGAGCACCCACCTGTCCCATATGAGTAGTCCCAGCAGGTCTCCAGGGGATTAGGTCTCGACAATAAACAGCTCTTCTCCAGATTGAGGAGGGAAGGACAGGTGGGAGGCTTAAAACAGAACACATGCAATTCATGGGCTCACAGGGACAAACTGATGCCTTCTCCCACCCAGGGGTCTCAGTGTGTGGACAGTGATCCCAGAGGCAACTCCAGAGCCACAGCTAAGGGAAGCTTCAAGGCAGGACACCAGGGGTTTTCCTGTATTGTGAACCAGAACCTGGCTTTGAATTAAACTCATGAGATTTCGTCTTTACCCAACTCTTTCCTAGGAGCTTGGCTTTCAGGATGGCTATTTCACTTCTTAAATGAAAGCCGGAGACTAGGGGTGCCTGGGTGGCTCAGCGACCAACTCTTGGTTTCGGCTCAGGTCGTGATCTCTCAGGGTTGTGAGCTGGAGCCCCTCGTGGGACTCCGTGCTCAGCAGGGAGTCTGCTTGAGATTTTCTCTCTCCCTTTACCCCGCCCCCTTCTAAAATAAATAAATCTTTTTTTAAAAAAAAGATGGAGATAAGACAAACCACCTCATGGGATGGTACTGGAGATTCCATGAGGCCACAGTGGGAAATGTACAAGCCCGTCACCTGCCGGTGTGTGCCCTACAAGGGGCAGTGTTTGTTGCTGTCAAAAATCCCAGTGGTCCAAAGCACACCCTTTCCTTGAACTAGGTGTCCTTGGCCCTGTGGCCACCCAAGGACTGGAATTGGGGTGGGTCACAGGGCAAATGGGCAACACCAGAAGGGAGGGCCTGTTCGGGTAGGTGTCGACTTCCCAAAGGCCTAAGGACCAACAGCAGGCAGAGTAGCTGGGGCATTTGCTGTGATTTGGAGATCAGGGCACTGTGCTTTGTGTCACAAAGCCATTATGACGTCTAGACTTTTGACCCGTGACACACTTGACTCTGTGAGTGTAGATATAGCTTCTGAGTAGCTGGTACAGATACACTTGAATGCTGTAAAAGCCTCCCTGTCAGTCTCTGCAGCATCTCACTCCTGGAATCATTATGCCTCTCTGCTACAACTTTATAACCCATCTGTGCTTCTTCCAAAGCACTGACCACAGCCGCCGCCTCCTGTAGGCACTCTTAGCTCGCCTCTGCTCTCAGTCTCTCTCAGCGGTAATGTGTCATATAATTCAAAATGACAGTGCGCTCCACTGATCTGCCAGCTCTTCTCCACAGCCTTCGTGGGACCCCTCCCCAGACAGAAAGGATTCCTTCCCTCTTGGCCTCCGGTTGGGCACAGGGGCTGCCCTGGGGAGTGGAAGGGGCCACGGACTTCAGAGTTAGCAAGCTCTGCATCCCCACCACCTTGCTGTGAATACCTGGCAACCTCTCTGAGCCTCGGTTTCCTTATCCGTAAAAGGAACTAATTCCTCCCTGATTTGCAGGGTTCTTTTGAAGATTAAGCACCATGAAATGCACAACATCTGACCGACAGAGAGATTCAAAGAAGAGCTGTGAAACGGTTTGTTGCACTTGTTTTCCCGTCCCCTCTGCTAGAGTCTAAGTTTCTGGATGATGGTGACGGCGCCTGATTCACCCACCTTTACAAGCCCAGCACCCAGCACCATGGAGAGCACATTCTTTGAGTCACTGAATGTAAGCTGCCTGAACTTCTTCTCCCCCAAAATCTTTGCATAGCTTTTAAAAAGTGTTTTCTTTATGTTTGAAAAGAAATTAACAAATAATACCAATACCACAAAATAGAAATTGCCCAGGATTCGGGTGCAGACCTGCAGAGACAAGGTAACAAATAATCCAGTTGCTGAAAATGTCAACCCTTAAAAGGTTTTGCTCTCAATTTTCAAAACAAATGCAAATTCTCTTCTGTTTCTCCCATGTACCCATTGTCAGACTCGAAAACCAAGGCAAACCAAACTGTGTTTTTCTGAAAACTTCCAATTTTTCCCTTGACCTCAATTAATTATAATTCCATTGTGGTCTTACAGAGCTCACGTCACTGTTGATTGCAACCCACGGGCTAATCCTGGCTCTTGACAATGCTAAAAACATGACAGAAGGAAAAGATCTGGAAGGTGTTCATCTTCCGTATTTCTCATTATTTTAAAAGAGGGCTTAAAATTTTATTGTTCTCTCCTAATACAGAACGATTACTTCAAACAAGATCATAGTTTAAACTCTACAGAAAGAGTTGTACACTGAGGGTGATAACCGTCCTGTCAAAACAGTTGGCGTACTTCCCCCGGGGACAAACTACTTGAAAGAAAAATAAAGAGAAAGAAAGACTCCTCACATGCAAGGACGACAGAGCAGGTCAAGGGACCCCGAGCTGAGCAGAGTGGCCAGGTGACAGCTCCCCAAGCCGGTGCCACTGAGGAAGGAACAGCACTGCGCAAAAGGCGTGCACATCGAAAGGGAGGAAATCATTTGTTTTTGTGTAACTGGGATCCTGATTTGTAAAGTAATGCCCACCTAGCGATCTGAAACCAATTACTTCTTAGAAAAACTAGCACAGAGCAAACAGCTACTGGGAGGAGACCTCAGACTCACGTCCTAATGAAACACTTGGCCTTCTCATTAAAAATAAATGTCTACATTGCTTCCAAGCTTTTGGGGAAGAGTCACAGGCTGCAGGGGAGAAAGGGAAAGCGCCATGAGTCCAAATGAACCACAGAAAGCAGAACCAAGCTTAATTGGATTACTTCTAATTAGTGACTCTAATGAGAATTGAAGAACATTGACAACACGTGTGTAGAGAAGTGACTGGAATAATCTTCATAATTAGAGATGCGGCTGCAGATAAGGCTTTTCAGTCCCTGGGTGGTTTGTTAGTACAAACTTGTTCTTCCAGCTTTCTATCCTCCTGGAGCCCAGGATCTGGAGCCCAGGGCCTGGGTAGAAATCCAGGCCCACACTCACTAGCTGTGTGATTCGGGCAAGTTCCTTAACTCTGTGTCTGTCTGTCCTCAACAGCTGGGTGCAGGTGATTAAAGCAGCACTTACTTCATAAGTTCCTCATGGGGATTCCATGAGTTATTACATCCACAACCCTTATTATAGTGCCTAGAACATAGTATGTATTCATAAATCTTAGCTGTTGTTCTTAATTCACACACCCATCCACCATCTGTTTATTCAAACAGCATTTATTAGGTATTTTCAATGTTCCCAATTCTGGGCTATGCAAATCTGAGCATATTAACCCCAATTCAATGGCTTCCCACTATTTTTAAAATGAAGGCTCTATGGACTCCCAGCCACACCTTGTTCACCTCTTCCTTCCTCTCGCTGCTCAGATGGCCCTGGTCTTCCTCCCAGCTCTCTGACCTGTCCTGCTCCCGGTCCACAGGGCCTTGGCACAGGCTACTCCCTCAGCCTGGGCCGCCTCAGGAGGGCAGAGTCTGTATCTGTTTTTGTTTATTCTTGAATCCACAGCACCCAACATAGAAGCTGGTTTGTACTAGGTGCTCGATTAAAATTCATTGACACTAATGAAAAAATAAATGAATTAAAGATTAAGAATAATAAATAAGACAGTGCTAAGGCATGATAATACTAGCTAACACTTATTTAGTGCTTACTCTGTGACAAGCACTATTCTAAGCACTTTTCTTGTATTATCTCATAACCATTCCACCTTGAAAGGACGGGGGGGGGGAAGGGGGATTGGAGTGCCATGCACTGGAACAGAATAGGACACGACAAGAGAGCTTAACTTAAGTCTATGCAGGAGGGAGACCTATGAACAGACCACTATAATTAGTGAGTTAACATTAGGATGGAAGAGAGCAGAGGGAAGCCAGCAGCCCACAAATGGCATCCCCATTGTTTGTGGACACCAAGGAGGGTCTCACAGAGGTGACAGTTTGGGAGTGAGAGCTGAAGGATTGTCTGTAAGGGGTGGGTGGGGTCTTTCCAGGAAAAGGAATAGCAGCTACAAAAGCATGAAGGCCCACGAGAGCCTGGGAAACTGAACCAGCGTACGAAACCAGGCTGAGATAGCCTACAGGGAGAGGTGGGAAAGGGCCTGGGGAAATGGGGGGCAGCCAGACCAAGGAGGACTCATGGGCCAGCCTGAGTATTCCCCAAAGGCTTTAGAGTGGACATCCAGATGTATGGTTCATAAACATATCTCTGGTTGCAGCCCTGAGTCTAGATGGCACGGGTCATGCAGGAGACAAGGAGAAAAGATAGGAGACTGGTTTAGTAGCTCAGGGGACAGATGCTCAGACCTGAGCGGTAGCAGTAGGGGAGGAAGCCAAGTTAAAAAAGGGAAATGGAGATGGAGCAGGTGGGGGAGGGGGAGAGGGAGACAGAACATGGAAGGCTAGAACGCTAAGACCAGACCTTCCCGGGAGGGAATAGAAAGAGATGAGGGCAGAAGGCCCAAGTAGGATGACCATGCCACAGGTAACCGGAGCCAGAAGCATCAGTCCTGCTCAAACTCCCCAACCTCTGTCCTGGAAGAACCAGGGATGTGTGTTTGTCTGAGCACGGTGGAGCCCAGGGAAGGGGGCAGAACCCAGGCCTGAGAAAATGGGAAGGCCAGATGCCAAAACCGGATGCAGACATTTAGGACATGGAGGCCCTGCAGTCGGGGAAAGGAGCAGAGAGGCAAAGGAGACATTGAGTCACTGGGGAAGAACTCCTGGTAGGGCACATGGGGTGACGCTTGTGGCTGGCTGGCTGTTGCAGCTGTGACCTGAAACCCTCGCCTGAATGCCCTAATCAGCAAGAGGCTCAGCAGGTCTGCTGAGATCCCCAGGTCCTGCGTCCTCTGGCCTGCCTCCCCTTGCCACTGGCTATGCCCAGCTGGGGACAAGACCAGACATCTATAGTACTGCCACATCTACAGTAATACTAATTCCCAGAGTTTCCCTTCACCCTGCTCTATCCCTCCAAGCTCAGTGGGGCACCCGCCTTCTTGCCCTCTTCAGACGCCCAGGGTCCAAGGTCTTTTTCACCTTCTCTTGTCTCAGGCAGCCCCAGAGCCGATTCCCCCAGTGCAGACCACCAGGGCCTGCCTGGCTTGCATGTCCTGTTGCCACCTCTCGCCAGCCTTACCTGGGATCACCCTTCCATGGGAGCAGCAGGTAGACCCCCACATCTGCCTGTTACCAATATGTCCTGAGCATCTTGCCACCTCAGACCCTTCACAGGAATGTTCCTTTCCCCCTGCCCCCACCTCCTACTCAGTCTTCAGGTTTAGCCTACATGGGGCTTCCTTGGAGAAGCCTTCCCTCGGACCCCCTGTTACATGCTCTCCGTATGCTGTAAATCTGCTTTGTCTCACTTGTCAAGATTGAAATTCAAATAATTAGTTGCTTAATCACGCGCTTAGTGTCTGACTCTCTATGAGGGCAGGGACCAGGCTGGCCTTATTCACCACTATATTCCTGGCACCTAAAATAGGACCAAGCACACAGCATGTGCTCAATAAATATGTGTTAAACAAACCAGAATGAATAACCAATGCAACCACTGCTCAAAGATCACACAGCCAGTAAAATGTTGATTCAGGATGCAAGTCACCTATTCTGCATAGGCTTCAGGCCAGTCCAGGCAGGAAATGAGTTTTAGTGGAGAATTTGCCCTTCGATCTAAATTAAGGAGGCCCTCAGGAAAGCAGGGGGCTGGTGTAGGGAGGGAAGGGGTCTAACATGCCAGCGAATGTCAGTTTTCTGAGAATACTAGACGGCTTAGCATAAAACTGAAGTGAGAATGTGCTTCTGAAATGTTAAACATTGTTTAATAATTTGGCACCATACGATGAGGGGTTTCTGTCAACATCGAACACGCAGCACTCCAGCTGGCTGAGAAATGAGCAGGGTGGTTTTGAAAAATTCACCAGTTCTCTTGGGGAAGGCCAACTAATCTGATTTTAACACCTCACAATGCTTTAGAATTACATTCATTCACTTCAAAAATGTGCTTGCTAGAATTAACTAGGTAGACTCTCCCAAGGGAGATGCAGAGTCCTCCATAAACACATTTCTTGATCAGAATGTAGTGTGAATTCTAGGAGGGACTGCAAAGGATTTGTAACAATTGGGATCATTTATGGAGAGCCTACTACGTGTTGGCACTGTGCAGGACCTTCACCCCCGTTTCCTCCCTCAGTGTTGAATGGGTGACCCTTGAATCTGCATTACAGTTAAGTGACTTGCCTGAGTCCCAACATCTGACAGGAATGGAGCAGGCCTGAGCACCCAAGGCCCTCTGGCCTTGGAGCCTGTGTTCATTCTCCAGTTCCATTTTATCTGACTGCCGGGTTGATATTGGTACTGTCAGCATTGTAGGATTAAGGGATCTGTGGCCTTCCATCGATGCCAAGAGCCAATGTCATGGTGAATGGCCACCCCCTGGGTGCACTTTCCCAAAAGGCTCAAGATGGAGTTGACAGGCTCTAAGGTCAGCAAATGCAGGCAGTGTCTATCATGGGGATTGGGAGGGGGGGTTCTGGACCATCCTTCACCTTTAAGAAGAGCCTCATATTGAGACTTGCTATTGGGCGTGCAGGGGTTATACGTGCAGACCCTGCTAAGGAAATACCCTGGCAGACTTCAAAGGAAGCCCTTTATGAGTCTATTCAGTGTAAACATTTAAGTGCACCATGGTGTTGCTGATTGGTTTGGCACTGCTCTGTTCTTTAATATACCAGAAGTCTCCCAAAGGGGAAATGGCTGACACCCTTCTGCTCCCATGAACAGCATGGAGGAAAATGTAAAATTCACTGACTGGGTTCTGGCCATTTTAGGGAAGTTGATTTCAACAAGATAGAGGGAAAATGTTGGGGAGAGTAAAAGGGCAAGACAATGGATCAATAAAAAAAACAAACAGTCAGCCAACAAACATTTAATGGACACTGACTTCATGTCCTGGGTTAGGCATAGTCCCAGGCACGTGACTAAGCATGGCTGAGCACTCCTTGTATACCTTACACCTTATGCCCAAACCTGAGGGAACTCTTTAGAGACGGTCAGCCTCACCTTTCCTGTTTGTGCAGCATGGGGAAGTGAGCACAGACATGGAGTTGTCAGTGGCCCAGTCTACACCCCGCCAGAGGGGTCAGGCCAGGAACCCCCCGGAGGAAGAGCAAGGTCGGTGGGAGAAAGAGCAGCTCTGGATCCTGTGGGGTAGGTTGCAACCGGCTGGTGAGAGAGGCCAGGGGAGATGTCTCACAGCGTGAGGGATTCTGAGTTACCCAGTGCTGTTCACGTAGAAACAGCAAAACTGAAAAAATAAATTACAAAATATAAGCAAAAATGGATCCCAGAACACCAGAAATCTAGTGGAGATGAAACAAACTGCCCTGGGTAAGTAGAAAGCCATTTCGACAACTGAGACGTAAATCTCCTGGAAAAGCCACATTCTGTGGGGGCTGAGTACAGAGGCGCAGAGCAGGAACAGGAGCAGGGGGTCTGGAACACGTGGACTGAGCCGGGGAAGCCAAGCTCTCAATATAGCAAGAGCTGCACAAAGAGGAAGCCAAGCCGGGGGCAAAGGTGAGTGAGGTAGGTGCTGTTCTTATCACACGCGTTTTCACTCATTCTCAAGTCCTGTGCATCAGGCCCTGAGTTTTGCTTCCACTGGACAGAGGCGG